AAAAAAAAAAAAGAAAAGAAATTGTCTCCTTGTTAAATAGACACCATGACAGTGTGTGCATAGTGTATTGTTAACCTCCCGTGGAAGGTTAAACGGGCTTCTTCTGTATCTAAATCTGTAGCTGTGAAAAATGTCTGCAGCATTGCACCCACCCACCCATGAATGGGGAAAGTGAAGACTTGCACCTGTGGGATTAGGTGTAGCAGCAGGAAGTAAGAGCATTTGCAGCATGTAATTAACAAGGAATTTTTTGCTTTTCTTTTTTTTTTTTAAACGACATTTTCATCTCACTGGGTTAACCAGTGATTAGCGCTCGAAAAAAATTTGCTGGAGTCTGCATCCTTACTTAAGCTCATTCCCTCGCTGGTGTACTCTATTATGCAGCCAAAGTCAGAGGAACTCACCTTACCATACTCCATTCCCGTCCATATTTGATTTCTTTATGCTCATGGGGGAATGTTTTTAGATATTTGTATCCTTTTACTATAACTTCGTTAGCCAAATTCTGTTCTTTTCTGAATCGAATTAGAAGTAATCCAGGAAGGCTTATTTTGATTTAGAGATTACTACCCTAAGAAACAAGATGGAGAAGTTAGTGCTTAATGAACTGAGGATCTCAAAGTTGTTGTTTTTTTTTAACGTCTTTATTGGAGTATAACTGCTTTACAATGGTGTGTTAGTTTCTGCTTTATAACAAAGTGAATCAGCTATACATATACATATATCCCCATATCCCCTCCCTCTCGTGTCTACCTCCCACCCTCCCTATCCCACCCCTCTAGGTGGTCACAAAGCACCGAGCTGATCTCCCCATGCTATGTGGCTGCTTCCCACTAGCTATCTGTTTTCCATTTGGTAGTGTATATATGTCCATGCCACTCTCTCACTTCGTCCCAGCTTACCCTTCCCCCAACCCCGTGTCCTCAGTCCCATTCTCTACGCTGCGTGATCTCAAAGTTTTAAATGGGAGAATGAAAAGCATTTACTCTCTCTTAGTGGTATTTAATACATAATGTGCTCGCTATGTGGTTTTTAATTGTTATTTTCTCGTTCATTAAGAAAACTGTTAATTACAAATATAGCAAAGATTTCTAAATGTAGCTCTCCAGAACAAAATATCCTTGATAAAAATTCATCCAGATCTACAGTTGTTGAAGTTTAACAGGCTGCTCCTTTGATAAGGTTGGAGACACCCACTTGCACCAGAATGTGTAGCAATATTCTACCTGGTGATGCAGTCACATGCATGCTTTTCATTTACACACCAGCAAACAAAAACTTGACTGAGTGTGTTCAGTTTTTTGCTTTTTTAACTAAACTTTATTTCCTGATAAGATAACATGTAATAATGGAATGAGACGCAGTGACTTCCAAAATATGTAGATCTTACTGCCATAAAACAGAGTCTTTGCACAAAGGAGCACTGAACCAGCGATAATGTCTTCTATCCAAACACATTTGTACTGTAAGTAGAAACTGTTTAAAAGGAAAATTACATCTTTTTCAGCAGTTTATCAGAGATAATTACCCTTCATACACCAAAGGAAGGATAAAGTGTTTTAAAGAACTATAATTCTAATTGGTAAATGTCACCAGCTGTTGCAGTTATTCTTACTTGTGTATATTCTTTTAATGATTATAGTCTCGTGCCACAAGCTACATGAAAATATATTCACTAGGTGTGAAATTCCCGTATGTCACAGTTTCAAGAATACGTAAATAGCTCAAAGATAAAGGAAGAAATAATGCTAATGAGGAATGTAAGAATTGTAGGGTTTGTTTTCTAGGCAAGTGGATCTTAATTTGCCAAAGGGGAGAAAATGTAATTTCAAAAAGAAAAAAACAGAAAGAAAAAGACAACACTTAATGTGTTGAAATAAACTTTTAAATGAGCTTTACTTCACACCCTCAACCAGAGTTGTGATTTTCTTAGCTGTAGAACCGTCTCAGCTTACAGATTTCAGTATTATATCCCTCGGGTCTGCGGAAGGCAATAGCACTGAGTTTTCTTTTAGGCTTAAACTGTAGAAGTATTTGTTAGTTTTAGATGACAAAAGATAAATTCTTTCTGGACAGTGTTTCATGATGTCTAATGTTATCTTAAAAGTGATCAAGGAAACGGGAAAAAAATTACCTTTGGGTCTGTGGCAAGTGTTTAAAGCCATCATTCTCCATTTCTCCTGGCTGTAACTCAGTTTCCAGTGAGTCTGATGGGTCAAGTGATTGACTAGTTTAAACTTCTAAGCGTACTCTTCTTTTGAAAGGCAGAAATAAAAATGGGGTAGCGGTGGGGAAAAATGGTGGAGGAGGCACGCCTCTCATGTGTTGATTCTTAACTCTCAGTTCCTCTGGGCTGTGCCCAACTGCCTTGGTATTTTATATATCACAGCATTTTGTTTCTAGGCACTGGACTGAAACTCAGATGTGGAGCTGACTTGTTATCATGTGTAGAAAGTCATTCTCCTGTCATTTTCATTCTGCGGCAGTATCCTTTCTGAATGTTCACACTTTCAGTATCTTGACAAATTTGAGAGGCACGGAGAGAAATCCTTATCTTATGGGCTAGCTGTCTTCAACTGTTAATAGTAGTTAGTAATCTTGTACAAATTACCCTGCCTTTTTACTGGAAAAACTTACGTATAACACCCCTCGCCCCCAAAGAAGAAAATAACCTAGGCTTCTCTTGAGTAGCCTTGTAATTATTTAAACTTTCAGACATTGCTTATGAGAATTATGTAGAAAAATAGTGAAGGCATGAATTTGGTAAGTTGTCTCCATTAAGTTTGGAATATATTTCCTACATTGTGTATGGATGCTCTGGAAGGAAAGATCAGTGAAGACATTTATATAAATAGTTGTTTCAGATTATAGCTAGTCACGAATTTTGTTATAACAAGGTTATGGTTTTTGTTTTATAAATTTATTTATTTTTTTTTTTGGCTGTGTTGGGTCTTTTTTTTTTTTTTTTTTTACATCTTTATTGGAGTATAATTGCTTTACAATGGTGTGTTAGTTTCTGCTGTATAACAAAGTGAATCAGTTCCTTGCGTTATGCGGGCCTCTCACTGTTGTGGCCTCTCCCATTTGCGGAGCACAGGCTCCGGACGCGCAGGCTCAGTGGCCATGGCTCACGGGCCCAGCCGCTCCGCGGCATGTGGGATCTTCCCGAAACGGGGCACGAACCCGCGTCTCCTGCATCGGCAGGCGGACTCTCAAGCACTGCGCCACCAGGGAAGCCCTGTGTTGGGTCTTCGTTTCTGTGCGAGGGCTTTCTCTAGTTGCGGCGAGCGGGGGCCACTCTTCATCACGGTGCGCGGGCCTCTCACTGTCGCGGCCTCTCTTGTTGCGGAGCACAGGCTCCAGACGCACAGGCTCAGTAGCTGTGGCTCACGGGCCCAGTTGCTCCACGGCATGTGGGATTTTCCCAGATCAGGGCTCAAACCCATGTCCCCAGCATTGGCAGGCAGATTCTCAACCACTGCGCCACCAGGGAAGCTCCCTCAAGGTTATGTTTGAAAGGATCCTTCAGTCCATGTGGTATAAATTTCCCTTTAGGCTAAATATAAGAGGTAAATATATAAGAACTTTCTGTGATTTTCATTGCCCAGAAATAACGTTGTTACCAAAAAATCAAATTAATTTTTATTAATGAGATATGCCCAGTGTCTATACTGTGCACTGGTTAAGAGATGGGCAGTTTTATCATTGTATCAATACATAAAATACAATCCCCTCCTGGAAAAAGAAGTGATAAGAACTTTGTCCTTCATTTAAGGAAAAGGCACTACTACTGTCCTAGCATCACTCAGATGTATATCTTGTCTTTCCTGCAGTAGTAATAGTTAAATGATTCATATCCTCTTTCACCTGGTTTCCTTACATTATTTACTTTTACAAAGAGTCCACTGATGGAGTTTGTAAGTGCATCCTACAGATACGAAATTATGCACGACTGACATTGACTTATTCAGGCATCAGTTCTACCATTTCATCATTATTATTGTCCTATTCTAAAAAAATGAATTACTCAGTACAGACTATGAATCAACCCCAGGTATAGAGTATACAGATCATCTAGTCCAGCTATGTGAAACTAAAAGAACTAGAGATAAATTTAGAAGGAAAACTCTTTAGGAGCCATTCAGGTTATTGTCCCTCCCTGGTGCTGATTCTGTAGACTCTGTAGGAAGGAGGAATTCTATTAACTGCCTTATCTTGCCTAATATTAGAAGACAGCAAATGTTGAGTAACTTTGGAAACTTATCTAGTCCACACCTTTGGCTCTTCATGGGAGACTAGTTCATCAATATTCTTATAGGATTTCTAAAATAATATAAATCCTTGAGGTAGTATTGATAAATATGGATGAGTAGAAGCAATGGATAACCCACAAAATTTTGACTTGCATTTCACTTTGTAATGCATTAAATGTTTTTTGTTCAATATCTTCCTAATAAAATTTATTTTGTACTCCTTGAACACCCATAGTAGTTGAGGAAGGCAAACCAAGGAAAGCTAACATTTTTTAAAATATATATGGATAAACCAGCCAGAAATGATGAAAAGGAAATTGAACTTACAATTAGGAAATGATTATTGCATGTGGGAATTTCTTTGAAAAATGTATTCATTTATACTGCTTGGCATATTGACCTAGCAAGGTAGCCATTTTAAAAAAAAAAAAAAAAAAAAGAGTATCTACTCTTTGAGTAGATATTAAGATATGGTCTGTCATATCTTTTTTTTTTTTTTTTTTGGTCTGTCATATCTTAATAATGATAAGTAACTATGACCTCAAGTTATAGACCTCAGTAATAAACTTTTATTTACTTTAATTATGGAATTTGAAGGTGTCCATTGTTGATTTGATCTTAAGCATATTTTTCTACTGTAACTTTTGAAAGGTTATAAGGAATGATTTTCTAGGATGGTGATTAAATAACATTTTCACAATCAAGACCGGATATTGTTTTATTCCCTGTGCTTTTTCCTCACAACAGAAACCAGGAATGGATCTGGCAGACACTTATATTATGTTTGTTCGGCAAAACCAGGATATTCTTCGAGAAAAGGTCAATGAGGAAATGTACATAGAAAAGTTGTTTGATGTAAGTACCCTTGCAATTCATGCTGGCTTTGTAGATGTACTGTGAAGGAAAAAGTTACACTTTGATGGTATGTCTGCAAAGCAGACTCTCTTTTTTCATTTCTTTTTCTTCTATGCAGCTAATATAGTTGATCATTTTATTTCTTTGACTGCTGACAGAAGCCTTAACTGGCTTTTTTCTATACTTGAAAACTGTCACTATTAGAGTGAGAGTCTCAAAATCCTTCTAAGGTTAATTTTAGCAAGCAAGATGATATCCAGTTTACCGTTGTGTATAGTTTACATCACTTGCCTTTGCAGCTGTCCGTAAACAGGATCAAACTGTAATGGATTTGGCCCCTACTATAAAAGTTTTTCTTAAGTCAGTATAATATTCTTCATTTAAACAAAGAAATAAGCTGCAATAAAGGCAGATATCTCCCACTGTACTGTTAGTGTGCATTTCATCTTGCTTTCCAGTACTGACGTTTGCTAACAGAATACTGCTGTGGTCTTGTGAAGGTCTTCACTGAGGCATGGCAGCTCCTAGAATGGGGAGGTTGTGGTTTTAGATGGCCCGATCAGCAAGTTTCATTCACCGAGTACCTGTAAAAGAGACTAAGAGAGCAGTCCATTTCAACAACAATGTTGTCACTCATTTGTAATTATTCAGCAGTCAGTTCAAAGGAAATGGTACTTTGCTTGTGACATAACTTGGCAAAATTCACTACAGTGCTGATTCTGAAATGTAATATTTGCTTTGAACTGTATTTATTTATGTACATCTTCTCTGCATTTTAGAAATGCTTTTCTGGCAGTTTCATTTAATTATGCAAGTTTCTGCAAATGTTTTCATAACAGCAGTTCACGGGCTTCATGGTGACACTTCAGCTGTGGCAGTGACAGAAGGTCCTGCTACGTCATCATCTCCACCATGGTCCGTCGTGTCAGTGTTTGCTGTTTGTCAGACTGGGTGGTCAAAATGAGCCTTATCTTTCATATTTTATGTTTCTAGCCTCTACCCAGGCTGTTTTACAATAAAAGTATCATCTGTTTTAATAAGCTAAGTGTTAATATGTGTGAAAAGAATGATTTCCTAAAAGCTTTGATGCCCTGCAGGGGTAGAAAAATTATCATCCATCCAGCTGTTGGCTCCTTTACAAAATACTGAAACCATATTAGCAACTTCTGTTTCCACTTGGTATTGCTCTGAATTTACAAGCATATGTTTCACTTCCAAGTTCTCTTTTACTTTTTTTGCGTATGTGGTAATTTTCAAAAATGTTGAACAGAAAAGAACAGTTGAGTTGCTGTTATTCCCATTACGTTTCTTCTTGGTATAGCTAAAGCACATCTTCTATGGTGAAAAAATCGTAGAGTCATTCTGGAAATAGGCCACTGTGCGCGCGCGCGCGCGCGCGTGCGTGTGTGTGTGTGTGTGTGTGTGTTTCTTAACATCTTCAATTTTTTGTCTTGGCGACCTATTTACTACAAAGCTTGCCATCAGATTGTAACAGGGGTAGAATTTCTTTTCTTTTTTTATAAATTTATTTATTTATTTATTTGTTTGTTTTTGTCTGCGTTGGGTCTTCGTTGCTGCGCGCGGGCTTTCTCTAGTTGCGGTGAGCAGGGGCTACTCTTCATTGTGGTGCGCGGGCTTCTTGTTGTGGTGGCTTCTCTTGTTGTGGAGCACGGGCTCTAGGCGCGCAGGCTTCAGTAGTTGCTGCACGCGAGCTCAGTAGTCGCGGCTCGGGGGCTCTAGAGCGCAGGCTCAGTAGCTGTGGCGCACTGGGTTAGTTGCACCGTGGCACGTGGGCTCTTCCTGGACCAGGGCTCAAACCCGATGTCCCCTGCATTGGCAGGCGGATTCTTAACCACTGCACCACCAGGGAAGTCCCAGAATTTCTTTATTCAGAAAGTTATTTCCTACTTAAACTCCCCTTCATTCACCAAACTTCTTTTGAAGACTTTTTGTATGGCAGCAATAAAAAACGGAGCTAACTAAAGCGGACAGGAGGCTAACATTAAAATGATGTGCTAGTTTGACTGTCCTGGTGATAGGTATACACTTTCCTTTCAACGCCTAAGCATGAGACATGGCTGTGAGTTTGCTTCTAAAGGAACCCTTGACAAGCAACCATTCTGTTTTGGTTGTGAAGGTTTTGTCATTCTGTGTATCCCCAGTAGAACATTGGACTTGTTATTTGTAAAATAGTTATAATGTCCTTAAACATTCTAATATTTTTAAGTTGCACATTTTTATTACTGTAATTGAAAATAGAAAGTAAACTGTAATTCTATTGATATGTCACCAAGAATAACATATGAAGGGGTACCGAGAGCCTCTAATTAGCCAAGACTGAATTTGCCTCAATTACAGTTAGTAAATGAGAGGTTATCAAGTATGTGTTGAAAGGTAAAGTAGAATGTGTATCTTAAGCAACAGATCATTACTGAGAGACGTTATATAATTACTTGGCTGGAGCTTAAAATAATATTGTTAGGTGTCAAGAAACAGTTGAAAGTAATGACCCTATAAATCCTGTTAGCAACCTTAGCCTATTACAGATAAAAGACTGAACAGTTTTATTCAGGCATCATGACAAACTTTTGCTATTCCAGTTCGCTTCCTGAGTAAGGAAATGAAGCCTCCCACCTTCAGATGCAGAAGAAAATGTGTACACACACACTCACACGCCTGCATGCAGATGCATGCACACTCACTGCAGTGAGTCAATACTTAGTGGTTTTAACCCACCCAGATGAGAGTACAGGGCCTGCAGTTTCTGGTCATGAAATATGAGAGCTTAACTTCTTACAAAAGATATGCTTTTTATCCAGATGAAGTTCGCTTCGTTCTAGAACACATAGCAGTATTTCTATATAAAACAATTATTCTACAAAACACCCATCCTGCCACCAACACCAACACTTTAAAAAAGAATGCATGTGTTTTACTAAAGAATTTTTTTCCGAATGAAAAAGACTGCTGAAAATTCTGTGAAACTGGCCCTGAGAGTAGTAATTAATTACTTGTGGTGTTCCTGGCCTCAGAAACTTTTTGATCAATTAAGCATCTTACTAGTTCCTGATACTTGTGGCTAAATACCTTAGGGTTCTGTTTAAATAATTGTACCAGGGACTAAGGTAAAAAAATGACCATTGCCCTGGATTTGCATCCATTGTTTTGGGGATGCACCTACAAAGGAGAATGGTACCTTCTACTGTTGTCCATGTGCAGCACCCCACCCAGCCATACACCATGACTCTGCTTCCTGAGCATCCTGCACTGCTATTATTATTGTTCTAGCCCCTAATGGAAGTTTTCTTATTCCTTCAATGTGTTAAAGAGGGGGATGACTGAAATCTGTATTCTCTGACAGACCATAGATAGGATAATCTTAGACGTTTACATCAAATCTTGAAATATTAAAACTAAAAGTATCATTTGAAGATCAAAACAGTTAATATTAGGATAAATATCGAGACATTCTACTTCATAAGTGGTTAAACTTATAAAACACTTTCTGCTTAAAACAGAAATAATTTCAAAAAAGTGTAAGTAAATGATGGCAGATCCCCTGTTTAACGGAAGGTACTAAGTTTGATTAAGGTACATCCCTAATCTTTTCAAAGTGTCAGAATAATTATAATAGCGTTCCCTGTCACCACTACTATTCGCAGGGCACCTCCGTGTACCAGAAAATGTGCTAGATACTTGACCTATATCATTCCTAACCTTCTGGGTAGATGCCATCACCCCCATTTTAGCCTTATTTTCAGGTTAAGGAATCTCCCACCCAGAGACAATAAAGGACTTGTTAAGTGCTAAATCGGACTTTGAAATTGTGTCTCTCTAGTTTCAAAGTCCATGTTATGTCTACCATACTTCAGACTTACAAAATGTGAAGTGGTAAAACAGTGTTTGTAGGAAGAGGGCTAGACCAGGAATCCAGAAACCTCAGTTCCAGCCACAGTTCTGCCATTAATTGGATGAGTGAGCTTTAAGAAGTTATGTCACCTGTTTGAGACTCAGTATACGTAGTACATATAAACTGAAGAAGCTAGTCTAGAACTCCAGACGGTTTCTGAAATCCCTTCCAGATTTTAAACCAACATATTAAATTAGTTTTAATTTTAGCAGTGGCGCCAAAAGTTACTGGGTTGGTTGCATGCTGAGGCTTGCACCCCGGAGTAGCAATCAATTCTTAATTTTTTTTGTGATGGCCAGGTGAAAGCAATAAGCAGTAGCAATTACAGTAGATAAGTAGAAAATAGATTCTATATAAAGACTGTCATTTGACATTCTGTACAGCTACCACCATGGTTCTGAACCCTACATTTAGAAAAATGGTTGTAACTCATATATTCTGTATTCATGTTAAGTCTTTCTGAGTGACCAGAATAACTTAAACAGAGGCTGTCTTTGCCTGTCAAGTGGTCATTGGTGGTACACAAGCTGTTTAAAATCTATATGTTAATATAATGGTCCCTGCGTCGCACAGTATATTCTTGTAGCTTATATTGTACAACATGGGGAATATAGCCAATATTTTATAACTATAAATGGAGTACAACCTTTAAATATTGTGAATCACTATATTGTATATCTGTAACTTATATAATACTGTATAGCAACTATACTTAAATGTAAAAAAAGAAAAAATTATACTCACTTATTACCATTATGTTTTGAATTTAGCCAAAGGAGAAAAATATACATGTTAAATCTACTTTTGCAATTAAAAAAAATGTGTCTTATCTGGGTAAGAGAAATCTAAAGGAAGTTCTGTAGCAGAAGAGAATATGGATTCACCAAAAGAAGGTGTTCTGCTTTGCAGGCAATGTCCCTTACCCCAGTGTATAAAATATCATTGTCAGTAGCTGTTTAAAAATTTTATCAAATCAGGGCTTCCCTGGTGGCACAGAGGTTGAGAGTCCGCCTGCCGATGCCGGGGACACGGGTTCGGGCCCCGGTCTGGGAAGATCCCACGTGCCACGGAGCGGCTGGGCCCGTGAGCC